CTCTCTCTCTCTCTCTCTCTCTCTCTCTCTCTCTCTCTCTCTCTCACACACACACACACACACACACACACACACACACACACACACACACTGCTTTGAATCAACCTCCCCGGTCGTCGTCTACCCATAGAGAAGGAATAAATTCTGAGGAAACCCAAGAAACGTGCTCCATGCCGCTTTGTGATGACCCGCCGGAGATTCAGCTAGCATGTGGTTTGCATGCCTTATGCCGTGAGGATTATGAAGGGATAGCCCGGGTGAGCATTTGTCTTCATACATATGATGACAATCTACACTGCACTCATGTACGACACCCTGACATGTCATGTCCAATTTGTAGACAGGGGCTGCAACGGCAATGCCTCTACAATGGCAGTTGACGTGCCTCTGTGTTCCTGGCATGTAGGAGCCACGTAGCCTGTGACATATGTCTACGCTGTGCCATTCGATGCAGTAACTGCGACTGGGAGAATTGGATGTGGTGCATCCACAGCCCACACCCAAACCGGTCCTTCCCGGTCTGTAGAGGTGGCCATTTACCATAGACACTTACCAAAGGCAACGGCTGCTCAACAAATCTTATGCAACCCACAACTGACTGGCCTCACTTGCCATTCTAGAGTGGTTTCCTTCCCCCCTCCTCTTGTGCGTTACTAGTAACACATGCGGATGAGCATCAGTCAGAGAGCAGACGTTGACCTTTGTCTCAGTGGTTAGAGCACCGGTGGGATCACAGAAGTTGAAGATCTGAGAAGAGACAAGCAGGGTGGATGGCCGTTGGCTCAGTGGTTAGAGCACCGGTTGGAAATGCGCATTGTAGTATGAGGTTGCGGGTTCAAAACTCCATTGGCTTGCGCACGCACACCGGAAGCACTTCATAACGCAAAGCCATTCACACACCCTGTTGGGATGACACATGGTAAGATTTATATAGACACTGCCTGCGGACTGCCCAAGGGGTCTAGGTCCATGGTTGTAGTATGCTGGATAGGGCCACAGGGAGGGCTGCTTGAGTGTTTGGTAGGGGGTCTGAGGATCAGGGTCTTATCTTGCCTTCACCATGGGCCAGAGGGGGGGTAGGTTAGGGTAGATTAAAAGGGGAGGGTTTACTACCTAGACTGTCGATAACCCAAAAACTGCCGAAAACTGTTGAAACCGTCGATACCTCGGCGTGGCCACTTGGACCCTCCGTTCAGTTTCGTCAGTATGTACTAATCCATGGGTGTCATGGTTGAGCCTGGTTACAGCCAGTATGTTTCCCGTCACTCTGGCGCCCGTAAAAGAGTCCACACAGAGCGAACTTAGACTACGGTCGGGCCCATCTCGGGGGGGATAATCCTACGCACACACTGGGTGTTAGTATGGGATAGGTACTGGGTACTTCTCATCCCGTAGGTATCTCACGATGCCTGCGGGTGGTGCTTCACCCGGGCTGGGGTCCGTGAGAATTCTCATTGGGGGAGTTCTCATTGGGGGAGCCTCGGGTAGGAAGGCATCATGCTTAGGATAGGGGAGGGGGGGATGTCACATCCTAGTGGAAGGGCATTTCGCTGCCCATAGAGTCTGTGGGATGAGGCACAGATGGGAGATGACTGCATATGCATGGACCCCACCTGTGCCCGAGTTGTCCTTAACATTAAAAGTTAGGGTAGTGTCTGTACAAAGACGTTCGGGTTAGTCCGGGAAGCGTTGGCGGAGATCACAACTTGCGATCTGAGCATTAGCGTAGGTCATGGTACCACGGTGCCGTCTTGAGGTGACTTCCCTTGGGTCCCTGCAATCCATCTGACCTCCCAATGGTGAGTACTATGGGCACCTCCTGAGGCCTGGCCACCACCCTCTACTACACCCTGGACCTTTTAAGGGG